ACAATTTGCCTGAACCATATTTTGGAAAAGAAACAAGTGGTGTACCTTATGTGCAATTACAATAAGATGGGATTACCAAAGTACCCAATTCAGAACTATTTGAGATGAGGCCCAGTGTACTGAGTGGGTTTCTGTAAAGGCAAAAGTAAACGAATCGGCTTCATCTCTACGGCAATTCACACACTCACTGTGGTTCCGATCCAATTACCTGAGACAGCCTTTATAGAAATAGAAAAAAAAAAAAAATTACAAAATTTGCCTGAAGCACATTTTGGAAAAGAAACAAGTGGTGTCCCTTATGTGCAATTACAATAAGATGGGATTACCAAAGTACCTAATTCAGAACTATTTGAGATGAGACCCAGTATACTGAGTAGGTTTCTGTAAAGGAAAAAGTAAACGAATCGGCTTCATCTCTACGGCATAATTCCATTGCTCTTAGGGAAAAGATCAAAACATTCTCAAAATAGCTCTTGCTGCCTCTCTAACTATGACCTTAGAGTGAAGACGGCTAGGAATTCATACTGTGGAATGCGTCAACAGTAATTCAGTGCAATTGTAAATTTTTAAATTGTTTTAGTTTCACTACAGGGTGTGTGTGCTTGCTGGAAAGAGCAGCGGGGGTGGTGAGGGTGAGAAATCACCCGTGCCAGGGGAATGCGTGTGCTTGCTGGAAAGAGAGCAGCGGGGGTGGGGAGGGTGAGAAATCACCCGTGCCAGGGGAATGGCTTCACTGCAACCCCTTCTCCTCCATTCTCCTCCCAGGACTTTGGGCACGCGTGCAATGTGCCCAAAGTGTATTTCTCAAGCCACCAGGTCTGGCACTTGAACTGTGAAGTTGACCGGCCACGTAGGAAGCAGTCACGACAGCTTCTGTCACACCTGCTGGTCCTCTTTCTTTCTTTTTTTTTTCTCTTAATGTTAGTAAAGGTTACAGAAGGCTCAGGCTGTCTCAGGTGATGCTTTTTTTTTTAAGGTAACACTTTATTCTTTAACCTTATTTATTATTATTTTAATTTGCTATAGGGCACATGTACTCACAAGAAAGAGAGAGAGTAAGAAAGCAAGTCAAGTCTAGGACTTGAGCAGTGGTCAGCCATGTGGGAATCCGGCTCCTTACCCACCCCGACACCTGCTAGCCCCGCGATGCTCTTAAGACTACCTTTTCTCACGTATATTTACGAGTAGGAGGAGATCTAATCAGAGCAGTGTAACAGCCACAGCTATGCTGACAAGGAAGTTCTGGAACCCTAACCCAACTACCAGCAAAGGGAGTAGGTAAAATAACACACACCTATGGCACTTCCCACTGAGCATTCTGTCAGGACCTCTTCACATGTCCCTACTAAGAGCTACCAAGCTAGGGGCCAGCAGGTGGCGTGGTGGTTAAGGGCACTAGACTCCCACATGGCCGACTGCGGTTCAAGTCCCAGACCTGGCTTGCCTTCCCACTCTCTGGTCAAATTTAAATAAATAAATAAATAAAGGTAAATAAAATAATTCTAAAAAAAAAAAAAAATACTAAAAAAAAAGTCTTGCTGTAAAACAAAAACAAAACAAAAATATATTCAGAGTTTTTTTTTTGTTTTAATCTTTAAGGGACCAGGCCTTTATCCGATCTCTCACAATCAAAAAGCCCTCCCCACTCAGGTTAGTTGGTCTAGAGTTCATGGTGCTGCTATGGTCACAGTTATCAAACTAGGAACTAACTAGTGCTACTCGGCTAGAAACTATTCCTTGATTACAGACCATACTTCCTGACTCAAACTAGTTACACTGCAAACACACGAACCCGCCTTGGTGCGGAGCAACAATGAAGAGAATGTGTGCACCAGTTAGTCCCAGCGCCCAGGAACACCCAGGTCTTCATACTGCGGCTGCTACTGCCCGCCCGCCGACAGCGCTTGTTGCCGGGAGGCCCACACTCCTCTTCAGTTCATCTCAAGCACGGACCAAAACGAGCTTGCAGGATCCGCAAACAAAAACGATCACTTACCTTAATCTTAGTACTAGACTGATCGGGATCTTGGTTTCTTGTGAACCTGCTCCTGAAGACAAAGCCTAAAAAGGATTGAAAGTCTCAAGTCACTGCCTGGGACACTGATGTGGAGGTGGCGAGGGACCACCTGCAGGGAGCCGCCCACCTGGCAGGAAGTTTCTTCATGCCCACTTGAGGTCATCTTAGTCCCTGGGACATTCCCTGCCATGGGAGGGCAGCCACGAAAGCTAGTGTCAGCATGAGCCATGCACAATTAGAAAGAAGCCAATCATTCTTGGGGCCAGCAGGTGGTGTAGTGGTTAAGGTGCTAGATGCCCACGTGCTCGAGCATGGCACGAGTCCCGGACCCTGCAGCTTGAAACACACGGGGTGCATGTACATGCATGCCCGAAATTCCAAGGACGGTGGAGGAGAAGGGACTGCAACATGGCCACCCCACAAAGACGGGTGATTTCTTGCTTTCTGTCTTTCTGTCTCTCCAGGGAGCACACATGCCCTATAACAAAAATCTAAAAAGAAAAATAGAAAAGATATGGATAATTCTCAGATCTGGTTGCAATTCCATACATGGCCACATGTAGATTTTCTATTTTTCGGACCCCTGTTGTCCTCCTATGAGGGAGACAAACACAAAGCTAGGCTTCTCTGAAAGCCGCTGTGGGTGTACCACGTGGTAGCAACACACAGGGTAGGGCCTGGACTAGCTGCCCTTTGGGAATCCATCCAACTGGAGATTCCGTGTCTCTGCGTCGCTAAACTAATCCCCTCTGAAAACCGTGCACCCTCCCTTCCGTACTGGAGGACAGACGCTCGGCCTAAGTGGCTTACACAGCGAACCCTACTACTCCTCAGCTTTCCTACGAGTGTGTCCTTCCCTCGGAGACGCGCAGAGACGAAAGCTGGGGGGATGGAAAGGTGGCGCGGAGACAGTGCCACGACCAACTGGAGGGCTCGAGGGCAATGGTCTCCAGTGTCAGAACACGGGACGGCCACAGGGCGCAAAAGGAAAAGCCAGCACTTCCACTTCTAGTTCTTTCCATCCAAAACGTTAGACGGGAAACGAAACTTCCACCGTTTCAAATAAATTGCCGGGGCCAGCGGGTGGCATGGTGGTTAAAGGTGCTGGATCCCCGCATAGCCGACTGCGGTTCGAGTCCCAGACCTGGCGGCTTCCTTTCTTGCTTTCCCTCTGTGTCTCTGTCTGGTCAAATTAAATAATAATAACTAATGGAAAGAAATAAATAAATAATTAGAAAAAATAAGTGGCCATGGAAAGCCTTGCTCTAACCCTGTGGCATAAGGGTGCGTATTGCATGCAGGCTTCTCGAGGAGGAGTGGGAATTGTGGAGCCTGCAGGGGTTCGCATGGGGCCTGCCCTTGTTTGGGGGCCGCTGGGTACTATCGCGGAAGTCCGTGTGAGCCTGAGTAAGTCAGCGTGCCGACGACATGACCTCGGTTTCCCAAAGCCGACCTTTCACAGAACGGATGGGTATTGTAAAACGGGTAACGCCACAGAAGAACCACGGGCTGGGAGGTATCGGTAAATACGGGCCCGAGCAAACGACGAGGAGGGACAGTGGCCAGTCGCGCCCCCAGCCTCGGCACAAGCTTCACGGCCACGGGGCTGTGGAGAGCTCATGATGCACTTTTGCATAGGAAATCATGCCGTGATTTTCCCAACGACCCAAAACGTGCTGAAGTCAAATATAAAAATGACCTAAAACAGAGCTGACAAGAAATTAGCCAAACAATTTAGATGTCTGGAATGTTTCCATCATCAACTTATTTTGTTCTTAAAAACCTATGTTCTCCTTGTAAAAGTCTTGCCTACACACATCCGAAACTGCGAAGACAGCGCTCCTAACTCGGTCCAACCCCATCAGCATCCACTGGCCGGCATTAGGTGGCATCTGGTTTTTTCCCAACTACCCACGAAGCCGGCCATGAATGCACATCCCCGCTTTACCTGAGCTGCCTTTGCTGGCTCTGTGGAGGCTGGGAGAGAGACTTGAGCTGGCTGTGCAGGCATCTGCCCGGCCGGCTGAGGTAGATGAGCAGAAATCTGTTCTGGAATTTGGAGCAGAGTACCCACGGGATCAGTTGTTGGAAAGAGCTGTAACAAAAGCACACACGGTATTGCGTTTCAGGTGAGTGGGGAGGGTGGCTGGGAGGGGAGGGTGGGGGGGGGGGCAGGGCT